CAAAAAAAAAAAAAAAAAAAAAATGCAGCCAGGCATGGTAGCTCACACCTGTAACCCCAGCACTTTGGGAGGCTGAGCCGGGCAGATCACAAGGTCAGGAGAAAAAAATGAGCTGGGTGTGGTGGTGCGTGTCTGTAGTCCCAGCTACTGGGGAGGCTAAAGCAGGGGAATCGCTTGAACCTGGGAGGCAGAGATTGCAGTGAGCCGAGATTGTGCCACTGTACTCCAGCCTGGTGACAGAGCGAGACTCAGTCTAAAAAAAAAAAAAGTGTGTGTGTGTATATATGTGTATATATATATGTATATAATCTTACATGAAAGAAGGAAATAAATGGGTGCTTTTATTCAACAAGTATTTATTGAGCACCTACTCTGTGGCAGGCAGTCTTCTAGGTGCTAGGGTTGTAGCAGAAAACAAGACAGGCAGAGATCCCTGCTCTCAGAGGGAGCACAACGTGTAAGATAAACATGCAGAACACCTGGTATGTTAGATGCGAAGATAAATGCCCTTAAGGAAAGTAAAGCAGGGACAGTGACATTTAGGAGTGAGGATGTTGCAACAATTTAAAATAGGTTGGTCAGGGGAGATTCATTGAAAAGTCCCATCTGAGTCAAAACCTAGAGGAGAGGAATTGAAGCAGGCTGGCATCTGGGGGAGTTGTGGGCAGAGGAAATAGGAAATACAAAGGCCCTAAGGTGGGGAAATAGCAAGGACTCAGGTGTGGGCAGAGCAGAAAGTAGGGGCTGCATGAGCAAAGGGCGCCTGGCCCACATCTTGTAGAGCTTTGTAACATAACCACAACGTGCAAGTGTACAATTTAACATTTTATTCCACATCTTATGGCAAAGAAAAATTGACTGCTACCAATATGGTAGTTTCTGACCTCTAGTTCCCTAAATAGAATTCTGTAAGTTGTAATACACTTTACTACACATTATCAGAAAAAGACTAAAAGTTCTATTTAGTAACTCCAATTCTGACAGTTCTCATGTCTGGGCTAGAACAAGCGCGTGGCAATGGCAGAACAGATGTCTTCTATTTTCTTTGCAGGATTTTCTTTTTTCAGAGGAAAGTACAGGTATGGGCCCACTCAAGTGGGGCTCCAGGTAGTAGGGGGTTCTGTCCTCACCCAGGCAGCAAACAGGAGGGCAGAAGCCCCTCCAAGGGTACTACAAACTTGGCTCCGATCCATGATTTCAGTTTCTGACAATTACAACATTCAGTGGGGGAAAGAAAATCAGGTATCTGAGAGCTTGCACAGAGGCATTCTAGCAAAACCAAAAGCATCTACTGGCTACTTGATGTTAGTGTGAAGATTCTCATGAAATGGAGACAACCATTCTAGGGGTTGAGGGTGGCCAGGGGGATGGGCAGAGGGTGAATCCTGAGCTGAGAGAACTAAGAAAACAAAAACAATACAACAAAAAGCTGCTCAGCCATGTGTTACCCATACTGGAGTCCTGTTTGCTCATTCTAGTGTGGAACCCAGGGCCCTGGTAAGGGAATGAGGTGACTCCAGGGCATTTGCCTGCCTCAGTGGAAGCAGGGAGGTAAGGGGTTAAGGTGGTAGTACAGCCTGCAGGGCCAGGGGTCTGAACTCCCTCCAGGAGGGACCCAAGAGGTGTCTTTAGCCTGAGCCACACAAGGAAGGGTATAGAGCCCAGAAGAGCTCTGCTTAATATTCATACAGTAAGTTTCCACAGACTAAATACACACACACACACACACACACACACACACACACACACACACTTGTTTACTTCTCAAATCATGTACCACTTTCTACCAGATTCAAGAACATCCATAAGTACTAATGGGTATCCAACCATTAAGAAAAAGTTTGACTCCCTCACTAGTTGTAATATACAAGTCTTCCCATTTCCTTACCTGTAAGATAAGGGAACAGCCTAGCAACTTACCTGATGCATAGGAGGTTCTTAATCATCTCCCTTCCTCTCCCTCATCCTAACGAAAAATACTAGATTGCTGTCAAATGCTATGGGTATACTTTAAATCGGTGCTTGTCAAACTTTAATGTGCAGCCCAATCAGCTGGGGGAATCCTGTTAAAATGCAGGTTCTGATTCAGTGGAGCTGGGGTGAGGATAGGAATTATGCGTTCTTCACAGGCTTCAGGTTATGCTACACTGCTGATTGGGGATCCTTCTTTGAATGGCAAGAATTTGACACTACTAAGTTCCATTACTTAACACAACCATCTCACAAAAGCCCTCAAAAGGCACCACACAGTCTAAACAATGAGCCCTTCCACTTCAGCTTCATGCAGGCACTGACCCTGCCAGTGTCCAGCACTAGAGAGGCCAGGCATAATACATATATCCTTTGGTCTTGGGAGGTTCACAACACCCTCCTACGGGAAGATCTTGCAATTGTCTCCTCACCTCTTCTGGTTTTTTGATCTTACCTTTTCCCTCTGATGATAATTACCCTTTAATTACCATCCACTACCTTGTCATCTAAATAATTATAGTAAGTGCAGCCTGCACCTCTGCCAGAGATCTTTAAACAGAATGATAAAAACAAGTTCCTAAATTGCCAATTAAAAAAAAGAGACAAAACTGACCCAAATAAAACAGTCATGTGCATCCCACCCACAGTGGAAGATATAGACTTGTTATTCACATAAACTACAGAAGAAGTTGGTTTATTTTGAAACAAGAAAAAGTACTGACTCAGTATTTGGGAAATTGTAAATGTCAGAATATAAATTCTGCAGTCAGGTAGGCAAAACAATCCAACCACACTAAAACCCATCTCGAATTCCTCTTGGGAAAGGCTGCAGGGTCTCTGAACTATTTTTCCTTTATTTGGAGTTTCCTCGATTATACCGGAGGGAGCTGGATAACTTCTGGGTGCATTAAAAGCAAATTATCCATTTGTGGAAGAAGGGCGGGCTTCTCACTGAAAGCAATTAGTAGTTTTCTAATTTCCCAGGTGGGTCTCCATTAACCGCCTAACAAACATCAAGGCTGTCCGAGTCCGACGAATCATGCACTTCTCTTAGGGGGAACTGGTTGTGCTATTCTTTAGAATGCTGTTTTCTCATAGTAGCCTTTAAAAAAAAAACTTACCAATTTTCTGAATTAGGTAACACATTAAATGGGGAAAACCTAAGACAGCACAAAAAGGCGCACAGCGAAAAATTAAGACTCCTTCCTCCCGTCATCCGCCACCGCACTGTTCTCCCTTGAGGCAATCACTGGCTTACTTCTCTAAACTTTTTATTATGGAAAATTTCAGATACACAAGTAGAGAGATTGTATGATGAGCGCATGTGCTTGCATCACGCAGCATCAACGATGAAAAACGTCCTGCCAGCTTGTTTTATTCCTCTCTCCCAGTTTTCACAGGCGTATTTTACACTCCTGACACCAGATCACTCTACCTGTCAACATATCAGTAGGTCTTAAAAAAAAACAAAACCATAGCCACATTACCGTTACCACACCCAACAAGGTTAATGATATTTGCTCAATACCATCCAATATTCTCGGGGCCACTTTCAATCGGTGACGGGCAGACGGAGTTAGAGGGAGGACTGCAGGACTGGAGGGGCGCGAAAAACCGCGGGGCAACGCTGCTCGCGGCCTCGGGTGTCCGGCGCCTCGCAGTCCCGCCGTCGTCACCTACGCCGGGCCAGGACCTGTCAGGCCAGGTCGAGGGCGGCTCTGGACCACGCGCTCCCTGCCTCCGCGCTCCGGGGCGGCGGCCCCCGCAGGCCCAGCGCAGCTGCACAGCCCGTGGTCCCCAGACACCGGCGGGTCCCTGGAGGGGAAGCGATTGATACAGCTGCCTGCACTGCGCTACCCGCTCGGCCGCCCATCCCCATGGCACCTGCGTCTCCCGGCGGGGCCGGGAGCTAGAAGTGGTGGCCGAGACCAGGAGGGCCAGGCCACCCGCCCGCTCCCGCTCCCGCTCCCGCGCCTGGTCCTGGGCAATGCGACCTCGCGGACCTGGACTACAACTCCCGTCGGGCCCCGCGGTCAGGCCAATGGCGGGCGCCGGAGCATGCGGAGCGCAGCGCCTGCGCGGCGGTTTGAGTAAGCGGCTGCGTGATTGGCTGCGGGGTCGGGCGGCCGCGCGGGGACTGTGGGAAGCGGAGTGACGGAGCGAGCGGCTGTTGGAGGAAGGAGGTGGGGGCCGGGAGCGCAAATGGCGTTGAGATGGTTCAGGGCCCTGTTCAAACTCCAGCGCTGACCATTCACCGGCGGAAGCGGCGGCGCAGGAGGCGGCGGCGGCCCAGCAGGGGCACGTAGCGGGCTCTGGCACCAGCTCCGGCGGCGGCGGCCAGCGAGAGCTAGGCCCGGGCCCGGCCGGCGGCGCTCGAGGCGGGGAGGGAAGTTGCGGGGCCGCCGCTCCTCCCCCCCCCACCGGGCTTCCTATTTACCGAAAGCGGAGCCCCTCGCCTCTCTCGGCTCTCAGCAGCCGGCCCTGCTCTCCCGCGCGGGGGTTCCGCGCCCGCCCGCGGGCCGTAGGGAGCGGGAGAGGCGGAGGCGGCCCGTGGCCAAAGCACCCGCCAGGCGCCGAGGGTAAGTGAGGTGTCGGGCGGCCGCCTAGGCCGGGAGGGAGCCGGGAGGGTGGGGGAGGCAGAGGCTGGGAGCGGGCGGTGGAAGTCTAACTGCCTCGCCCACCGGGCCTCTGAGGAAGTTGGGCAGGGGAATGACCTGAAGAACTCTCTTTTTCCCCTTTTATTTTCCTTTTTCGGAGTTCTTTTTCGGGCGACTGCTGATTGACTTAGGTCCCCAAACCCAGTCAAGTGTGTTGATTTCAGCCCCGAGTCCTTTCCCGTGGTTTCATCCGCCCCTGGCTGCCACCGGGGCCTTGCACTGCCCTGGGGATTCGGTGGCAGAGGCTTCCGGGGCGTCGAAAGCGACCTCCCTTTTCTGGGCGGCGCGGGTTGGGAGGAGAAAAGTTGCGTGAGTGTCCAGTCCGAGGGGTCCACCGCGCCCACTGCCCGTGGCGCCCCGGCTGTCCCCAGGTGAGGATTTCTCGATAGTCAGGTTTGTCCCGTCCGCTTTCCATCCTTAATGGAAGCCCCTAAAGCCTTTGGGGATCGGGAAGACGCTAGATTAGGGTGGGAGTGAAAAATAAAGGCTTTTTTTTTTTTGGTTTTCTTTAATCAGCGCACTTCCCTGAAAATTCGACCTGATTTTGGGCTAGGGCAAAAGCCCAACAACCGAAAAGACTTAGTCGTGAATCATTCTTTCGTTTTTAGTTAGGACAGTCTTTGGAGTTTAAAGGTGGAGCAGGATCGTGTACTTGAAACACTTAAAATTTAATTTCAAAGACGTCTGCACACTTATTTTGGAATCTATAGTGCTTTATGTTTACATGCCATTGCAACAGTCTGCAGACTTAAAGACATTTTATTGTGGGAAACGATAAAGGCAATCAGGAAGAGATACTATATAATGAACTCCTCTGTACCTATCACTTGGATTCAGCAGTTAATATTAAACAAAGTTATTTCATCTGTACACTTCTCATTCTTTAATGTTGGAAAATCGCTGACGTTATTTCATCAGTATTTCACTATGTATTTGTAAAAAACGTGGTCTTTTGGCACGAAATTATTATTATTATTATTTTTGAGACGGAGTTTCGCTCTTGTTTCCCAGGCTGGAGTGCGGTGACGTGATCTCAGCTCACCGCAACCTTCGCCTCCCGGGTTCAATTGATTCTCCTGCCGCAGCCTCCCGAGTAGCTGGGATTACAGGCATGCGCCACCACGAGCGGCTAATTTTCTATTTTTAGTAGACACGCAGTTTCTCCATGTTGGTCAGGCTGGTCTCGAACTCCCAGCCTCAGGTGATCTGCCTGTCTCGTCTTCCCAGAGTGCTGGGTTTACAGGCGTGAGCTACCGCGCCCAGCCAGCACAAAATTATTTTTTATCACATAAAATAATTAAGTCCTTAGTGTCAGATATTCATCTGCAGACTTTAAACTTTCAACAGTGAATGCCTTGGGGTTCTAGAACCATTTTAACAGTGAGTTTTTCTGATGTTGACATAAGGGAACTCAAGTCTAGATTTTTGGTTTGGCCTTTGGTTAGTATTTTTAGATGATTAGCACATAAGCGTATCGAAAACATTTCAGCCTTGTTGGTGTATATATGTAAGCACACTTACAGACCTGCAGGATCTCAGCTTTACATTCTTGAAAGAATCAAGAGAATCGACTTTTAGTTTGTTGTCCGTGGTAGTTGCCCAGTATCCTGTTGTGTTTAGGCTGTACTTAACAAGAAAGAGAGTAAGACTTCTTAGTGTTAGAGCTGCAGTAGAAGATGAAATAGATCTCCTTCAGGAACACTGTTTTCTCTTAACACAGATATATATGATGACTAAATTATTATTTTGTTAAATTAAAATTGTCTTCTCACCAAACATCGGGGGATCTACTACAGAATATACATAAAACTCAGACAGTGACTCATTGTAAGTTGTAATAATTTAAGTTAAGGGAAAACACAAGTGTAGCTCAAAACATATTCAAAAGTATAGGTCAAATATAATTTCAGTTCTTGTAGTTTTCAAAGTAAGAAGATTTTTCATCCCTTAGGCCCTTGTTCACTTTTTAAAGTTATATTCGATGTATTGATGTTTGAACTGTAGAAAGGTCAAAGTGTAGACAAACGGATAAGGATTGATTATGTTTAAAAAGTACTGTACCTTTTTTTAATAGGCACAGAACCAATGCAAGTAACTTGTTTTAAAAAATGTGTGATTTTCTGCCCTAAAGATTTTTTTTTTGTCCTGTGAAGTAGATAAATCAGGTAAATCGATTTGCCATTTATAAATCGAAGAGAAAAATAAAGGTTATATGTTTCTATTCCTGTATTAATCCATGAAACAGTGTAATATGCTGGAGCTCACTAGCTCCAGAAAATGTAACTCAGCAAATGAGCACAGCACTATCAGGACAAGGCAGATAGGATAAGGATAGTTTCTTTCCCTTAGGGAGATGACCATCTAAGGAACATTTTTTAAGTCACAGCCCGAATTACATTACACCAAGAAGCAGAATCTTCAAGATTGGGTTAAAAGCTGCAGGTTGTAAAACATGAGAAAAAGCACCATTTTGGAGACCTTTTTTCTCCTATGAATTAGTGCCATGAAATTTCAAAGAACTAAATTTAATCAAGTATTGGATATTTCTGAGGCCCTGAAAAAAATTAACGTTCTGTGCTTAAGATTTTATATAGGTAATTACCCTATATAGATTATTATTACATCACTGCAACCTCCATCTCCTGAGTTCAAGCAGTTCTCCTGCCCCAGCCTCTCAAGTAGCTGGCATTACAAGCGTATGCCACCACTCGCAGCTAATTTTTTTATTTTTAGTAGAGACAGGATTTCACCATGGTAGCCAGGCTGGTCTCAAACTCCTGGCCTCAAGTGATCTGCCTGCCTCGACCTCCCAGCCTCTATACAGATTATTTTTTAAGGTAAAAATGATGTTTATAAGAATAGCAAGTTGATTCATTTGGAGCTTAATACGTTTCAAGTTAGCTTTGTGGATATCGTATTATAAGTTGGTTAATCATTAAGTTTTTTTACTTTGTAAGTAGCATAGGAATATGTACTCATTGTAGAGGAAAATTGACATGGAAGCATGTAGAGTAATAAATCAGCCTTTCTTTATACCCCTTCCTCATATTTGTTTAAAAGTCTGTGGTGAGTGTCAGAAGTCATGAGGGAAGAATCCCTAGGTTTTTATTTTTATAGCACTGTTTAACACTTGTTGAGTATTTGATGATTATATGTTTTCTTAAATTTTTTTTCACAGAATATGAAACTGGTGTCAAAATGACATCCAGATTTGGGAAAACATACAGTAGGAAAGGTGGAAATGGCAGTTCAAAATTTGATGAAGTCTTTTCCAACAAACGGACCACCCTTAGCACAAAATGGGGAGAGACTACATTTATGGCTAAATTAGGGCAGAAGAGGCCCAATTTCAAACCAGATATCCAAGAAATTCCGAAGAAACCTAAAGTGGAAGAAGAAAGTACTGGAGATCCTTTTGGATTTGATAGTGATGATGAGTCTCTACCAGTTTCTTCAAAGAATTTAGCCCAGGGTAAGGGTTCCTCTTACTCAGAATCTAGTGAAGCTGCTCAGCTGGAAGAGGTCACTTCAGTACTTGAAGCTAATAGCAAAATTAGTCATGTGGTGGTTGAAGACACTGTTATATCTGATAAATGCTTCCCTTTGGAGGACACTTTGCTTGGGAAAGAAAAGAGCACAAACCGAATTGTAGAAGATGATGCAAGCATAAGTAGCTGTAATAAATTAATAACTTCAGGTAAGTTTTGATTTTCTTTATTCTCAGCCAAGAGGGCTTTGTGCAAGCAATTTTTTAAAATGATTTAACTTCTAAAATACATATTGTGTTTTCTTTCTGCACTTAGGATAAATGGGGACTATTGATAGTTTTGTAAAAGACATTTAAGAATTTTAAAGAAACCAGTTGGAGGTTGAAATAATAAAACAACTTGGATATTAATGTTTATAGACTGTTGCTCAGGGTACATTTTGGGAACAGTCATACGTTTCTAACCCCGATTCCAATAAGAAATATCTCTTTTTGTTGTGTTAGGATCACTGAGTATTTCATTTCTATTACTGTGGAGGATTTGGATGGTTATTGTTAATGAAAATGAGATGAGTACTTAAAATGAGGATTAGTTAACAATGGTAGACTCTCTGCCAAAACTAGCTCAGAAAGATTAAGGAGGTATTGAGTGGAGACATTAAAGAATTGAACTTGATTCCAAATTGAGATTAGTTTGGGGCCAGTAGCAGCTTGTATTGATAGATTTATTTATTTTGAGACGGAGTCTTGCTCTGTCGCCCACGCTGGAGAGCGGTGGTGCCATCTCGGCTCACTGCGCGCTCCACCTGCCAGGTTCATGCCTTTCTCCTGCCTCAGCCTCCCAGGTAGCTGGGACTACAGGGGCCCGCCACCACGCCAGGCTAATTTTTGTATTTTTAGTGGAGACAGAGTTTCACTGTGTTAGCCAGGTTGGTCCCGATCTCCTGACCTTGTGATCCGCCTGCCTCAGCCTCCCAAAGTGCTGGGATTACAGGCGTGAGCCACCGTGCCCGGCCGTATTGATAGATTTTAAACCACAAAACTGGTTGTATTTTAAAAATGTTAATTTGTAAATAGAGCATCTAGTACTCTCTCCTAAAACGATACATTTTGTTCTGTCTCCTGTAAGGGATTTGAGATTTATAATAAGTGAAAAAGGTACAATTAACTAAAAGACTGAAGAGCTAATATTGAGGGTGGCAGGGAAGAGGTGGGGTAGAGAAGTGGGAGCACTCTATCAGCATTAGGATAAGGGTGGCACTATACTGTAACTGAAAAGAAACCTTAGTTCTTGGCATCTTGGCAAAGTTTAGCAGTAATGAAAGGTTATAAAAATCTTCCTTTTAAAGGAAGTAAACACAAACACAAAACTTTGCTGTACTGAATTCTTAAGGGGAATTTGTCCTTTGAAGGTTAAGGCACATGAAACAGTACAATGTACTGGGCTTTGCATAGTTTTACTAAAAATGTTGAGCATTTTTTCACTTTCTCTCACTCTTGGATGAGACGATGAGCCAGCTGTTACTGTCATTCCTTTGATCCTCCGGGTTAATTCTAATTTGGCTGTCCTTACTGCTTTGCCCACATTTCTCCTCAGGCGTTGTTGGCAAGTTTAGGTTAAATTTCCATTAAAAAGACGGCATAAAGGGCCTGTGCAGTGGCTCATGCCTGTAATCCCAGCACTTTGGGAGGCCAAGGCGGGTGTATCACCTGAGCTCAGGAGTTCAAGACCAGCCTGGCCAACGTGGTGAAACCCCATCTATATTAAAAATACAAAAAATTAGCTGGGCGTGGTGGTGGGTGCCTCTAATTCCACCTAATAGGGAGGTTGAGGTGGGAGAATCACTTGAACCCAGGAGACAGAGGTTGCAGTGAGCCAAGATTGTGC